TCTTCTGAGCTGGGAAAGATGGAACAGGGGCTCAGAGTGGTGGTAGGGATGTTGGCCCAGAAGCCCCTTCCTCTGGGCTCTGAACGGCTGGACAGAAGGTGGCCCAAAAGCCCTTTCATCTGGGCTGGTAGCAGCGGGAGGGATGGTGCCCGAGAAGCCCCTTGCTCTGGACCAGGAGCAGTGGGACACTAGCTCAGAAGCCCCTACTTCTGGGTCGGGAGCAGAGGGAGGGATGGTGGCCCGGAAACCCCTTCCTCTGGACTGGGAGTGGTGGTAGGGATGGTGGCCCAGAAGCCCCTTCCTCTGGGCAGGAACTGGTGGGACAGAAGGTGGCCCAAAAGCCCTTTCCTCTGGGCTGGGAGTAGCAGGAGGGATGGTGACTTGGAAGTCCCTTTCTCTGAGCTGGTTAGTGCCAGGACCCAGTACCGTGGTCTGGTGGTCTGGTGTCCTCTGCATCTTTGTAGTGTCGAACCAGGTGGATGTACAGAGGAGCTGGGAGCAGTGTCCAGTGGATTGCTGCTGGGGCGCAGGGTGATTTGGCATGTTCTGCACCACTCGCGACCTCAGTAGGGCATCCAGAGGCCTGCCTGTCTGTAGCAGGCTGATTTGGTGTGTTCCACGACTTGCAACCTGGGTAGGGCATCCAAATTTTTTTGTGTGTTTTTGTTTTGTTTTGTTTGGTACTGGGGATTGAACTCAGGTCTTTCTGCTTGCAAGGCAGGTGGTGGAACCACTGAGCTAAATCCATGGCCTTCCATCTCCTCTTAAACAAGGGGACTGCATGTCACTCTCTGCTACCACACTGCCTCAGCCTTACTATGGATTTCCAAGACTCAAGTCCAAAAGTCAGAATAAAATTGAAAAATATGTGTTCCCCCAAAACAATCAAATAATTTGAATGTAAATTATCACACTAGGTGATAATTTCTTATCATGCTAAAAAGTTAAAACATATATAAAAGTAATATATTTTAAAATGAATTATATTCATGAAATTCATTAAGTTTATACCTGTGTCATGGATCTCCACTAACTTGATAACATTTGGTTCCAAATCTTCTAAATGCCTTAGTTTAGTATAATTAGCATTTGAAACCTGATGCTAAATATAAAAATTTAAAGGTTTCAAATATTTGTTATCAATTTTTTGTTTTTGCAATAAGTACCTTACTGCACCATGTGATGAAATCCTTTTAAACTAAGTATATAGTAGGGAAATGATCTTTGGTGAACAAAACATTCCAGGTCAGTAAAATTAGTATAATTGTGAAATAATGTCTTTATTTCAGTTAAGCTTTACTACTCAAAATAGCCTTCTCTTAAAATACTGGCATTTTTATGTAAGTTCTTGTACTTCTCTTTATTATTATCATAACTGAACTACTGCTCTTATTTTTAAGGAGAGTGTAAGCCAGTGGGACATTAGAAAGCAGAAGATTCATAAACAATTCTTCACTGTGTATGGAGCTGTCTTATCAGTTGCAGAACATACACAATTCCTGGTCCTTGTCCCTAAATGTCAACCCATTAATGCAACACAATATCCATAAATAATTCCCAAATACTCCCTGAAACATTCAACTGAAAGCTACTGAACCATGAGTCAGTGTGATGATTAGGTCCTCTCAGTAAAGAGGCTGACCTCAAAAGCTCACAGCAATTGAGGGAAACAACAGCAAAGTCTTGGGACCTGGTCATGAAACTGAATTATAAGAAAAAGTTTAAACCTCACCACCACTTCAGTTTCATTTATAGTGTAGTTTAGACTTTTTATTTTGATTTTGATATGCCTATAACTATAGATACATTTTTATTTTTCAAATATTATTCTCTGCTGGTAATTGTATATCATGATCTAATTTGGGCTCTCTAAAATACTTTGGTATTTTCTACTTTGCTTTCTGACAAAGTTGAAGTATTTACTTGTATTTTTGTTTTTTTCCACGAGGATCCTAATTAAAATATTATTAATTTTGAATAAATGATTTCACTGTCTTGGCCCATGTGTACCTAATTGGATGGTTTTCATATTAAGAACATTTTAATTCAAAATCTCCAAACAATATAATGACAATAATATAGAAGCTCCTTGGAATTTAAGCTTCTGCTGGGCTCAGAAGTCAACATTTCCTCATCCTTCACCATTTTGGGGGACAGGAGTACCTTTGGAGGGATTATTCACAAGTGTATGCATGAGAGGCTAACGAGAAGGTTACTATGGTGATAGGGTTGTGGGAAGGGTCAACATAGAGTGAGGTTTTGGATGTGGTGCCCAGAGAACCCCATCACCATTTCTGGTCAGAATGCCTGTCCCTCCATAGGTCGTGTTAAGGATTGAATTATGCCTGCAGAAAGATGGAAGTGGAAATGTTTGATAATCTCTGGAGCCAGAGGCTCATTTAAAAAGAAAGTATCCTTGAGCATGGCAGTTGCAGTACAAGTGGAAGATATTGATCCACTGACATTCCAACCAATAACTCAGGATGGAAGATGTCAGCTCCTGGAAAAGACAAAATTGTCTTTGTAATGAGAATTTATTGTATTTCCACCGAGCACATAGCCACCTAGAAGCTATATTTCACAGTCATTGTATTCTTTCCTCTTCTGTCAACAGGAAAACATGTTTCCAAATCACCAAAGCCAAGAGTTAAAGAGCAACACCGTTTTCCCCTGCTTCTTCTTTGTAGAGGTAAGAAATCTCTTAAAATTCACCATTAGAATATGCATTATTCAAAAGAAAGAAATATTATTCAAAATAAGAATAGAGTCTCATTCCTTTCAATAACTACTCCATGTATTCGTCCTTTATATACACTGAAGGTTTTACTATAGAAACCTGTAATGCCAAGAGCCTGTTTTCATCTAAAATGTTTCATGGTCATGCTGGCTATGGACATTAGCAGCATATTTGCATCATGTACAAATGTCTTTTTAAGTGCAAAGTTACATTTTCATTACCTCACTTATCACTATTTGCCTCCATTTAAAAAAAAATCTACCTATTTTCCCACAAGCTCTTCCACATCCCAGGACTTCTTAGCCTTGTTCTTGAACTCCATAATGTTGACTTAGCTTAACTGTTTACTATAGCTACACCTGGCCCCAAATTAGCCAGCAAGCCCTGAAGTTAGTATCATACATTTTGAGATCTTGTGCCTCACTCACCTCCTTTAGTTCCTCCACTTCATTCTGCTTTTCTCACATTCCATCCCCACTCACCATGACAAGAGCTATGAGCTCTAGTTTGTTCTTCTAGTCTCATTGTATTTATCATGGACTGTAAGGAAGTTGGTTTCAATAGCAGTTAACGTACATCTGCAAATCATATCACATATGCCAATCATATGCTCCCACGAAGGAGCTCATGGCTAATGGGAGATTTAATATGTGCCCAAATGGACCATTACTTAAACTTGCATGTTCAGATTGACCACACACAGGTAACCTTTCTCTAGTATATGGACCGTGATCAAGGGACAACCAACCGGGACCTGTTTGGTCAGTTCAAACTGCAGCTGTCTATTTACTTTTTAAAAACTGTATATATGTATTAGAAATAACTAAATATATTTTACAGTGATATGTACTTAATCCTTGTTATAATGAATAAAATTAATATTTCAATTAAGCTAGAATTACAAAATTGGTAATAGGTTTTTCCAATGATAACTTTCACAAGACTATAGCTTAGTATTCAAAAATTGCAATTACTTTCTTAGAGTCTCCTGTTTGATTACTACAATAGTTTCCTAATATCATTCTGTAAAATGATGTAGAGCAATGATACAAATTGAGAGCCTGAGTATCCTGGTGTTAGGTGATGCAATTACCTGGTATTCCAACCTCTAGGTTATTTAAAATAGGTTTTTATGCTTTAGACATACAAGAAGTAGAGCTTTTTTAAGAAACTAAGATTTTTTTTAAAAAAATCTAGTAAATATCCAAAAGTTATCTAAAATAGAGTAGTTTTAGTATCTATGCAAAGAACTTTAGATTTAGCATAAATAATATTTACCCAAAGATAAATAGACTGATAAGTGTTGGGCTATGCAGAATGACCTGTTTACAATTAGGTAAAAATATATCTATCATGCTATTTTTACTCATTTTGTTTTTCCTAATGGAGAAAACAAAGATCAAGGCAGTAGGTAGAAACTGAAAACTCAATGAGACTGCAAGTAGAAGCTCCAATAGAGTTGAAAAGAGAACAGATACAAGAGAATTTTTGCTATTTAAAGTGCTTGAGATTAGATAAAACAAGAGAAGTGGAGCACAGCAGGGTAAATGACAACCCAGAATGCCAAGACTCATTTTTTTTTTAACTGAAACAATTCTAGTGTTTAGGGAGCAATGGATGCTCTTTACAAGGATTCTAACAATGGAAAAATTGCTTTAGGATGAATTGGGCACCTTTGCTAAATTGTCTGTGGAGTAAATCCAAGAATCTGGGCAATTAAACTGAGAAAAAATAGGACTGAAATGAGGAAGGGACAAATGGTTATGAGGATCTTCAGTTAACATTAGAAGGTATTTTACTGATAATAAAGCATGAAAAGAGACTATCAGTTTACTTTAGGTGATATGAACTTGTGCCTGAGTCCAGTAAATGAGAGACTGGATAAGGATATTTTGCATAGCATCCATTAATCTACTTAACTTTGGGTAGATAAATTTGAAAACACCAAATGTGTCCCTTCTTTCCCAACATTTCATCTCCTCTTTCTATTATCTATTTCAAATCCTGAGCAAGAGCTTCTTGTCCAATTCATACAGAAATGATTACTATGGCACTGGATTTCAGCAAAACAGAAAAGCTTTATTCTGTGGGCAGAAGTAAGGAGGCCAGGAACTATAAACTCAGATCTAGTTCCGCATTAGGTATGGGAAGGGAAGATGGTTACAGGAAGGTTGAAGGGAAGGATTGCTTTGTGATTGCATGGTGATGAGGGGAGCCTTAAGGTTCTTTTGCACAGACAGTCATCATTCCTCTTCATGCTCACATGTTTGCTGTTGGGGGTGTTATCATGTTCTGCATTGGATTTTGAGCTGGTGATGACAAAAGGCCATGGGCCAGAGGAGCTGGCTTCTGCAAATACCCATTCTTGAAAAGCTGGTTTCAAACTATCTTTGAGTAAATTCTGCAGGCTTTTCCTGTAAAAAAGAGAACTTATAAACTTTATTACTTAAGTAATTGGTATCCAAATATGTCCAGACAATTGGTTTCTTGGATCTTTTCTTGTCTTCCTCAGCTCCCCAGGGTAACAGGCTCAATATGGCTTCTATGTTTTGTGCCCTTGCTTTGGCTGGCTTGACCTGTCAGGGCAACAAGACAGAAACAGCTGCCCCTGATTACTCCTCTATTCTCTTCCTTGATGGCACTTTTTCTTTAAACTGAAAATGATTTTGTGGGTTCTTCCTGATTTAAAAGGAATAAATATCTATTTAGTTTAAAAATAGATTTTATGCCAAAGTTTTATTTATTCATTTTCATTTACTGAGTAATTTTCAGATTTTACATTCCAATAAGCTAAGAAAGCAGTGAGCAACAAATAAGTGAGTAGAATTGTTAGGTCATCAATTGTGATTAATGTTATGGCGAAAAAGACACCAGGAATGAGGATGGGGTGGACTGATAGCAAGCACGTGGTGGCCTCATAAGTTTTCCTGTAAAATCACCACTCATGGATGATATCTTTTAATACTGTAGCATATAAATCAATGTAAATTTTCCTTTCTAAACTCATATTAGTTGTAGGTTTATTAATACTTGAACACAGTTTGAAAGGTCAAAAAATGTTTTAAAGTAACAAAAAGAAATGGAGTCTATTAATTCTGGATTCTCCTCCTACTAAGTAATCTTTCAGTCTCTTTCTCCATATAATGCTGTGTGGATTTATAAATTTTAGATGTTGTTTTTTTACCTCTTTTCACAGAAATGAAGGCTGCAGTTTTACTGCTTACTCATTCCTCTCCTCACCATTATCCCATAATGGATATATCAGAACTTTTGGCAAAATTTATACAAAAAGGTTTCATTATGATTATGATCATGTAGGTTCTAGACAAGTATGGTATTATGAGTGGGTGTGTAACCAGGACTTAGAGGCTGCTTTTGCTAAAAAGCACCCTCTTCACTCAGCTCTGCGGATACCCATTGGGCAACAAAAGCAGAATAAAAGCTTGACAGCTCGCCTTCATTCTTACTTGTCCTCTGAATCATTCTCTCCTGTGGTCCCCTTGGATTGCAGGAACAACAGGTTTGATGGACATGCATCTTGTGACAAGACTCAAAACTACCTTCCAGACAGCAATACTTTTCTTAGCCAACAAGGCCTCATCTGAAATAATCATCAACCAGACCACAATTTGACCAATACTGCTTAATTATGCATAATTATTGCTCCCCTTTGTATGTAACCTTGAAACTCCTGTTAAACCTCCAAAGACAGGGCAGAGGATCTTGGTCCCTCTTGTATTCCCAGCATGGCTATCATGTATATTAAATTCCTTTCCTGCTCTTTCTCATTACTTGTTTTTGTCATTTGTGGGGAGTGGCCAGATCTGATATGTTGGACTCCCCAGAGTCAGGCCCTGTCTGTCTTAGGACTCCTGGCAACAGGTGCATTTCCTTTCTTTTACAGCTCTTTGCTTTTCTTGGAGTTGGTGATGGCTGCATTATTTTATTGGTTTAGTTAAAAAAATCTAACTTTATACATAATTTATGAGCTCTGCTAAAGTTGTCTCATTGCAAATTTCTACATGATCAAATGTATCAAAAAATCTATTTTTTCTGACACCTTCCAGGTAACTTTCATCCTATTGTTCCAAACTGGTCTCACTCTCCAGATCGGATCCACAGCAACTGTCTTGAGATCAGCCTTTGCCGACATTTTGGCAAATACCTTTCCCCCTCTTTCCCTGTGTTCTATTACCTTTTGCCTTTGTCTCAGGTTTCCTTTTCTTGGTTTATTGTCCCATTTTAATGAGAAAATATTCCAGCAGTTTCTCAACAGCGTGAATTCATTATCTGTTGCTCCTGTAGTGAATTACTTTTGTGGCTTAAAACAGCACAAATTTTCATCCTGGAATTGTGGGTTACAAGTCTGACTTAGACCTCACTGGGCTAAAATCAAGGCACGAGGAGGCTGCCTTCCTTTCTCAAGGTCTAGGGGAGAATCCTTTTCCTAATCTGTCTAGTTTCTAGAGGTGGCCAACAGTTTTGGCTGCTGACCACCCCCCCTTCATGTGCAAAGCCAGCAATGGTGGGTTAAGTCCTCACACTGCCCTGGTCTGACCTCTCCTGCCTCCCTCTTCTACTTTTAATGACCCTGTGACTACATTGGGATGACCTGTACAATCTAGGAAATCTCTATTTTAGGGTCAGTTTGATAGTAATCTTTACCTGCAACCTTAATTTCCCTTTTCCATTTAAAGGAGCATATTCACAGTTTTAAGAGTTAAAGAGTTTTGGACATGGATATCTGAGGGATATTTTACACAATTCAGAATACCTGGAAATATGTCTTAAAATTTTTATTGTATATTTTTATGTAATTAAAATATTGACTGGCTATAGAATTCTAGGTTACAATGATTCTATTCTTAATTTATAAAGTATAACTTCATTCTGCTGTAGCTTCAAGTTTTAAGGAACTTGTTGTCACTGATATTATAAACCTGGATAATTATGTGTCTGGGTTTGATCATTTTTGTCCTTTTTTTGCATACCTTTTCCATTCTACAGGCCTATTTTCTGGAAGAGTTCCTCAAATTTATCCTGCAATGTTCTCACTGAATTTTAAACAATAAGTTAGCTATAAAAACTTAATTTACAAGGATTGATCATCTTTTCATTCAGCTCATTTTTCTTGATTTATGTGTGCAGTATTTCCTCTTTTGAAAGAAGTATTAATTTGAAATTTTCTTCTGCTTACTTTATTCTCTCTACTTTTTCTTAATTCCTTTTACCTCTGGGTGTTTTACTTTGTTCTCTTTCATATTGTTTCCAATATTTAATGGCATTTATCCCATTAAAAATAAGACATAAAAAAGTGTTGATCAGAAATTTTGATTGTGAGGTTCAGATCTATTGATGATTGTGTTAGAACACAGGTTCAGAAGTGACTTTTGGGGGATGACTGATTATAAATGGCTGTATGGATGAACTAAATCCATAAACATTAATGCAGAATTCATAACCACCAGGCTTTATTCTATTTTTCACTACATTATACAACTTCCTTACATTATTCCATATACCTATCACAAATATATATATTTAAAATTATATATAAAATTCAGGTAAAAATTTAAAGACTAACTCGACCCAAAGTGACTGATGATATGGATTCCCTTGCCTTCTACTTTGAGCTCCCTTCCACTACACTTCATGATTGAGCAGATAATGTGTTTTTAGACTTTTAGGAGAAATTGTCTGAAGAATAAAATTATCAATAAAAGGCAGAGGAGCAGAGGCCTCCAGTGCCAAGTGGATGAGGCTTTCTGGCCACTGTACCACCGCCTCCAGCGCTGAAGAGCAGAGCTGCCACCAGCGCCTAGGAGGTGAGCCTTGCAGGCACCAGCAGCAAACCCTACAACCCTGGTGAAATGAGTAGACAAGTAAACAAGTCTCAAAACCTGACTTCCAAACCACCTAAAGCAACCCCAAAGGGAAATGAGATGCAACAATCTGACACTCAAACACCTAGACTCCCTCCACTGGAAATGAAAGAGGATCTGGAAAAAATGAAATCAGAAATAATTTCTCAGATAACAGCAGAGATAGTACCCATAGTGCAAGACATGATTAATAAATCTAGAGCAGACACAGATAAACAAATAGAGGAGCTGAGGAACATGATGGAATCTCACCATTGGAAACAAATGGAATCCATAAGAAGAGATGCAAAAAGATTTCCAGGAGATTAAAAACTCCATTGAAAGTTTATGCAGCAGAACAAGCAAATGTAAGGACAGAACTTCAGATACAAAAGACAGAATTGCATGGGCTGGGGATTTAGCTCAGGGGTTTTGCCACCTGCTGCACAAGCACAAGGACCGAGTTCAATCCCTGGTACCAAAAAAAAAAAAAAAAAGAAGAAGAAGACAGGATTCCAATAAGTGACCAGGAAAAAAATTTCTTAAAAATAGTAAGGGACCATGAGAAATCACTCCAGCAGCTGCTAGATGATACAAAGAAGAATAACATAAGACTGATCAGAGTCAATGAAGAAACAGGAAACAGTGCAGACAACATAAAAAACCAGTTCACAGAAGTGATGGCAAAAAACTTCCCAAGCAGGGGAAAAGAACTTGAAATAAAGATAAGTGATGCATATAGGACTCCAACTAGACTTGATAAAAAAAAACTACACCTAGACATATAATAGTCAAGATCCCAGAAACCAAACAGAAGAACAAACTCCTACAAGCAGTTAGAGAAAAGAAACAAATCACATACAAAGGAAAGTCCATCAGAGTCACAGCAGTTTTCTCAACACAAACCCTCAAGGCAAGAACAGCTTGATGTGACATATTTCAAGCCTTAAGGAAAACAGCCTCCAACCCAGATTGATGTACCCTGCAAAACTAAATGGATGGAGAAATTAGATACTTTCATGACAAAGAGCACCTTAGGAACTTCATGAATATCAAATGAGCACTCCAAAAATTTTAGACAATATCCTAGGAAAAGACAATAAGGATCACAACCCCAGAGGCCCAGCAGAATGAATCCATTGGGCATTACAATAAATTAAATACAAAGGGGGAGAATCCAACCAAAAGAAAAAGTCATGACAATGATAAGTGAATACAAATCAGTTATAACCATAAATGTTAATGGTCTCAATTCACCAATCAAAAGAAATAGACTGGCAGAATGGGTCAAGAAGCAACATCCAACAATAAGCTGCATACAAGAAACATACTTAATTCAAAAAGAAACTCATAGAATGAAAGTTAAAGGGTGGAAAACAATACTCCATGCAACAGGAACCTGAAAAAAAGCAGGAGTAGCTATCCTTTTTGCAGATCAAGTGGATTTCAAACCAACACTGATTAAGAGAGACAAAGAAAGACACTAAATCCTTGTAAAGGGAACAATCCAAGAAGAAAATGTGATAGTCATAAATATATATGCACCAAACACTAGTGTGCACAACTATATAAAACAAATACTAACGGACATGAAAAATCAAATAAGCATTAATACAATATTAGTGGAGGACTACAATACACCACTGTCACAAATAGATAGATCAATTAGACAAAAAATAAGCAACAAAATACTAGAACTCAATCAAACTCTTGAACAAATGAACTTAACACATGTTTACAGAGTGTACCACCGCACAAAATCAGAATACACATCCTTTTCAGCTGCACAGGGGTGGTTCTCCAAAATATACCACATAGTCGCTCATAGAAGATGTTTAAGTAAGTATAAAGGAATTGAAGTTATTCCCTGTATATTATCAGACCATAGTGCAATGCAATTGGAGATCAATAGCAAAAGAAACAGCAAGAATTTCATAAACACATGGAAATTGAATAACACACTTCTGAATAACCAATGGGTCACAGAGGAAAGTAAAGAAAAAAATCAGACAGTTCCTACAGCTAAATGACAATGGCAATACAACATATTGGAATCTATGGAACACAATAAAAGCAGCCTTACAAGGGAAATGCGTAGCAGTGAGGAAAACAGATCAAGCTCAATTACACAACCTGATGCTGAACCTCAAGCTTCTAGAAAAAGAAGGGAAGGACAAACCCAAAGCTCATACAAGGGAAGAAATTATAAAGATCAGAGCAGAAATCAATTCAATGGAGACTAAGAGAACAATACAAAAAAAAAATCAATGAAACCAAGAGTTGGTTCCTGGAAAAAATAAACAAAATTTACAAACCCTTAGCCAAATTTATTGAAAAAAAGGAAAGAAAAGGCAAAAATCCATGCAATTAGGAATGAAAAGGGTGAAATTACAGCAGACTCTGGAGAAATCCAGAGGATCATCAATACCTGCTTTGAGAACCTGTACACCAGTAAGATGGAAAACACAGAAGAAATAGACAGATTCCTAGATAGGCATGAATTACCAAAGTTGAATGAAGAAGATGTAAAATTTCTAAACAAACCAATATGAATCAATGAAATTGATAATGTAATGAAAAATTTACCAACTAAGAAAATCCCGAGTCCTGATGGCTTCACTGCTGAATTGTACAAGACATTTGGAGAGAAACTACTGCCACTACTCTTTAAACTCTTCAATGAAATTGAAAGGGAAGCATACTCCCAAATTCATTCCTGGAGGCAAGCATCACCTTGATTCCCCAAAAAGAGAAAGACTCAACCAAAAAAGAGAACTATAGGCCAAGCTCACTAATGAACATAGACGCAAAATTCCTTAATAAGATACTGGCAAATAGAATGCAGAAGATCATCAAGAAGATCATACACACTGACGTAGTGGGATTCATCCCAGGGATGCAGGGATGGTTCAACATACACAAATCAATCAATGTAATACACTATGTCAATAGAACCAAGGATAAAAACCATATGATCATATTAAAAGATGCAAAAAAAAGCATTCAACAAAATCCAACATGCATTTATGATAAAAACTCCAAAATATTGAAATAGACTGTCTATACCTCAATATGATAGAAGCCATCTATGAAAAACCAATAGCCAATATCATACTAAATGGTCAAAAACTGAAATCCTTCACACTAAAATCAGGAACAACACAAAGATGTACACTATCACCAGTCCTGTTCAATATAGTCTTGGAAAGTTTAGCCACACCAATTAGACCAGAGAAAGAAATAAAAGGAATAAAGATAGGAAATGAGGAAGTCAAATTGTCATTATTTGCAG